CGCCATCTGAAGACTTCTTTCCTTACCTTCCTTGCAAAGCCCAAAATCACCAATCTTCACAAATCCTTCAGCATCCAGGAGCAAATTATCCATTTTCAGATCTCTGGAGAGGCAGTGGAAGGAAAAACAGAGGGGAAAGGGAGAAAGGGGGGGCCCGTTATTAAGGAGATGGGTACACCCCTCCATATCCACGCCACCGAAGCTGCCGAACATCCCACTTGCTCCACGTGGGGGGGTTATAAATGTTCACTATTAAAAATTAATCTGGGCAGCCTCTCCAGCTGCTGGGGGGGGGATTAGAAAATAAAATGAAAGAAGTGGGTCAGAATAAAAATAAGGTGGAATAGAAAGTCGAGGAGCGCTTGGGAAACGTGGGTGCACAACTTGCCATTTTCACTGCATGCGCGTTCTCCATCTTGTGGTTAGTTCCATGCACCCTTTTTAAATTCATCTGGATTCGGTTATTTGAATTCATTCCAGTGTATTTGAATTCACTGATTTGAATTCATTTGAATTCATTGATTTGAATTCATTGATTTAAATTCATTGATTTGAATGGATTTGAATTCATTGATTTGACTTCATTTGACTTTGACTTCATTTGACTTCATTTGACTTCATTTATTTGAATGCATTTGAATGCATTTGACTTCATTTATTTGACTTCATTTATTTGACTTCATTTGAATGCATTTGAATGCATTTGACTTCATTTATTTGACCTCATTTGACTTCATTTATTTAAATTCATTTTTTTGACTTCATTTGACTTCATTTATTTGACTTCATTTGACTTCATTTATTTGGCTTCATCTGAATGCATTTGAATTTGTTTGAATTCATTTAAATTCATCTATTTGAATTCATTTGAATTTATTAGCCGCCCAACTCCAATGGACTCACAAATATTCCGCACGCAGTGAGCAGTGAACATCGCACAGCTTCAGCCAGTATGTGTGTAGGAGAAGACGACGACGACAACAAGCAGTCAAGGAAGCGAGAAGCGATGTCGGGAATGTACGACTACCCCAGGCAAGCAAGCGGGCTATCGATAGGTCAACTGCCAGGACCACGAGCTACAGTAAGCAGCCTATCCTGGTGGATTCCTGCCTGGAGCTCGGCTGATTGGCCTGGAGCTTGGCAGCAACCAGGAGGAGCAACCGCTTTGAGGCAGCCCCTCACCCCAACCAGCGCAGGAACTTTGGGAGGGAGGCAAAGGTTGTACGCCACTTTACAGACCTTAAGACTTCGATTTCTTACAGGGACTGACCATCGAAGACTCATTTACGTGGCTACATCAACTTGCAAAGCCCAGGAGGGTGGAGTGAACCCAGGGCAGGAGGAAAGGCGTGTGCTACAACAAGTATTTTGTACAGTTATCTTCTTCGCGGTGGTGTGTCCAGCCCTTGGGAAGCAAAGAACCCTCCCCAAGAAGACTCACCTTCACCCCAGCAAGGAAAAATCATTTTAAAAATCAGTAGCTGGTGAAATGCTTCCCAAACCACATTTTATGTTTGTTTTATTAAAAAGAGCAAGGGAAGGGTCCTGTCTTCAAACCCAGCTTGTTCTGCCAGCATCTTTGCCATCATTCATAATCCCCCTTAGAAATGGGGATCGTATCAGTTTTAGCCACCACGTCCAGTCCATTCATGTTTCTTTCTCATTAACAGGCCCAAAGAGGGGATGCAATTCCACGTTTTGAACAGAACCCTTTAATTAAAAAGGCTTAAAAGGTGACCATTTAAAACTGGAAGACATGCATTTAAACCTGATGAAAAACTCTCCAAACACAAAACTCCACAAGTTCTGTTCTGTTCTTATCCTCTTCCTCTTCCTCTTCCTCTTCCTCGTCCTCGTCCTCATCCTCGTTCTCGTCCTCATCCAATTCCAATTCCAATTCCAATTCCAATTCCAATTCCATTTTTCTTAAATTTCAGGTGCCTTACCTGTAAATTATTGCCTTCTTGTGTAAGAACTGAAGCCCTAAGACCACGCAGGCACAGTAGAACCTGTGAAGGGATTCAACAGGGAAGGGAACATGGTCAAACATACAGCAAAATTAAGGGAACAAGGATCAGAGGCCAAGCCTCTTCCTTCAGGCCTCTGTGCTACCCCCCTTCAAGAAAATCTAATGCTTTGGATCAACCAGAACAATCCAAGTGCGCCGGGAAAATGACATTTCCTGCAACAGAAGCTCAAGTGGTGCAGGTTAATAGAAACGAAGCAGAGGAGGGCTTACAAGATTGGAAAAAATAGTCTATTTGGAGGAAACAGAAGGCTGCAGAAGGAGAACATGTCTGAAAGTTGGGCGGCCGGAAATCAAGATCTTCTTGCTCAAGAAGCTGCTGATAACAAGCAACTGTGTCTTCTTTGTGCCGATGGGAGAAGAAAAATGGAAACCTGGCAGCATCTTCCAGAGGGCAGAATTGTCAGCAGGAAGCATTTCCCCAAATTGGGGATGCACCATGATACTGGACGCAAAACCACCAGGTAATTTCCATCGCTGCTTCGCCCTGCATTTCCAGCCCCTCCCATAAACTCTTAAAATTGATCCGTGAACCGTCCGCCCTCTGGACGCAACTCGAACATTTGCTTTCGCCGTTTCTATCCTCCGTTGGAAGAGGACTGGAAAAGGGGGCTGTTCTCGGAGTGGACGGCTTCGGGGGAATCAGGGAACGTGGTGGGGAACGCCAAGGTGAGGGTCAACCATGGGACAACTGAGGAACAGGTGAGACACGGATCTGGTGGACGTGGGGAAAAAAGGCAAGAGATTGTGATGGGCCACAGAAGTAGAGCGAAAACATTTTTGCCCCTCAGGAGTTTAAGATTTGCGCAAAAGGGAATTCATTTGTGGAGCTGAAGTCCACCCTCACCAAAAGACGCCACCTTTGATCCTGCTTGCGATGCACTGAGGTCATCGAGAAGCTCCTGGGACCAAGAGACGACGTTTTTCATCAACTCACCGAGTGGCATCTTCGGAGAAATTGTTGGAGGAGATGTGCATCATGAGGTCCCCGCCGGGAGCATAATCCATCAGAAAACACACGTGACTCGGGCTCTGGAAGCAGGCAAACATGTTGACCAGGAAGGGGTGACCAGAAGAGTTGATGACTTCAAAGATACGTTTCTCACAATTCAAGCTACCAGAGATAAAATTTTGAGGAAACATCAAGACAATAGACACCCTTTCTTCTTTCTTTTTCAAAATAAAAACAGCAAACCCACGCAAGTGCATTTCCCCCTCCACTTTTACTTTTCTAATAACCATGAGGACTAGCACCTTTTTTAATTTTAATGACCCTTGTTATTCTGGGGTTATTTTGTTGAATTGTTCTGTGTTTTTAACTTTGTACACTGCTCGGAGCGACAGGGGTGAGATGGGCAGCTATATAAATTTACCAAATAAATAAACGAACTACTTTTCTTTAAAGAAAGAGAAAATACTAACAGCTGGAATCACAGACCTTCAACATCAGTATCATCTAGAAAAAGAATCACAGCTATACCTAGGTTTTTGGGGTTTTTTTTGCTAAGTTGGCAATGCAATTCTTTCTTCTAGGCCAGTGTTTCTCAACCTTGGCAATTTTAAGATGTGCGCACTTCAACTCCCAGAATTCCCCAGCATGCGGGCAAGGGGATTCTGGGAGTTGAAGTCCACAGCTCTTAAAGTTGCCAAAGTTGAGAAACACTGGTCTAGGGCAACAAGACCTAGCTGTTTTATTGAGAACCTCACCAGGCTAAAGGCTATTATGATTAAGAAGGTGACCTAACATTAGGGAGACCCGGGTTCGAATCCACCATCAACCACACAAACTTCTCACGGGTTTGTTGTTGGAAGAAGCGCTCAGCGCTTCCTTCCGGAGGAAAGACAAAATATAAATCTTACAAATAAATCAATGTTCACCTGTCCAGGTCATCCCGGCTAATTATCTCATGCTTCTTTAGGGCTTTGATGGCAAACAGCTTCTTGGTGGCCTTGTGACGAGCGAGCAACACCTAAAAAGAATGATCCGATCCTTTTGGCGACAGACTTTGACCACACGGTTCCCCCCAACAGCTTCACACCTGCCCCACTGAGACTGAAATGACTAAATCATTTTTAGCGAGCAAATAATCCATTCTAGTTCGCTTGGCGACAAGCGACATCAAGGTCATTTGCACCCGAGTGTCTTGAAACCGTCACGCCGCCATCACTGAAATCGGTCTGCGTTATTGTTTTTTTTTTTAATCATTTTTATTAAGAGTTTTGAAAAGCAGATAAAAACTAATGAGAACTAACCTCAAGTCAAGAAAAGAAAGGAGGGAAAAAAGAAGGATAAAAGACGAAGTGCAAAAAGGAAGAACGAAAAGAAACTGAAAGAAGTCGCTTCTGATTTTCTTTGCAGCAAATATAAGTACAATTAAAAAAATGTCTTTTACTCTACAGTTACAAAAAGAAAAGCTCTCTTTTTTCTATTCCTAATCCTCAAAGCCATAAGTCATAAGATCATTTTTTTTTCTGTTTCATGCAAAAAGGTTATAAGGGGTGGACTGTGTTATTGTTCTTCCGGCATAAGGAGGGTTGCATGACTCCGGAATATGGTGTTGGCATCGAAGGGGCCCAAGTTGCATTTAGCTTTTCCCAATCCCCCTTTCGGGGATATTGCAATGGTGAAAAAACCAGGATGTTTTTATCACACTGTTGTGGGGGGGGGAACAGGGGAGTGGGGTGTGCGTGTGCATGCACACACGTGTGTGGTTAACTCTACCTTTCCAAAATGGCCCCTACCCAACACCGCAAGACAACAGAAGTCTTCAAGTTGAAGAGTTCTCCTCCTGGGAAAGTAGAGAAAAATATTAAAATATTAAAAATATTAAGAGCATAGGAAGTGCTGATGCTGGCCTGTCCGACATTCTGTATTATGGTATATCCTCGCGGATCAGCCAACCCTTGAAATTTTCTTCTGCTTTAATTTTCACAACTGGCTTATCCGTGGGTCATCCGTTTTTCATGGTTAAAAATCTGAGGGTCAGTTTATCTGCCAGTGGGCTTCTCCGTGAGTATATACGGGATATATGGGCACTTAAAAAAAGTATTACTAGATATTCTCGTGGATAAGCTCGTCCACGGATAAGCTGACCCTCAAATTTCTAACCCAAATATTGCGAAAAATGCGCTGCCTCCAAATGTTTGTATGTTTTAATGTTCACAATGGGCTTATCCGCGGGTCATCCATTGATTATCCATTTTTCATGGTATTTTGGTTAAAATTCGAGGGTTGGCTTATCTGTGGATGGGTTTATCCGTGAGTATATATGGGTACTTTTAAAAAGCATTACTGTATATACTCTATACAGTATATATATATGTACTGTATATAAGTATGGGTATACTTATCCATAAGTCCATCTGCAGATAAACTGAACCCAATTCTTTTCCTTTTCATTATGTTACTATAAATCTTCATACAATCTTGCTAAAACCTACGGTTGCAAATAAATGTCTGTATGCATAAATCTTAGTACGTTGTGTAGTTTCAATACGATGATCGTATAACATATTTCAAAGTTAGGAACACTCTATTATTTACCTAGCTTGGAAAACTGAGAATGGAGAAGAGAAAGAAAAAACATTCTATTCCTGTTAATTACAATTTAGGGTATCAATATTACAAGCATAAAATTATTTGGCTTTTTCATCCAAAATTGAGTATAACATTGAGAAAGAACCACTACAACTCACATCAAAATAGTTGTCATATACTAGAGGTTTGGCTACTTATGAAAGTCTCCCTTGTATTGTTACTTAGTACGTATGTGTGTATGTATTATACACACACACACACACATATATACATATATATAAAATACATATTAATTGAAGAAAAAAATAGAGCAAATTTAACAAGAATTAATTACCAAAAAATGTAAAAAAAGAAAAAGGAAAAGGGAATAATAATAAAAAAGAACTATTCAAGGGTCAGTGTCAAGCCCAGCCCAAGAACAACGATGAAACAGTCCAGTCTAGTAAAGTTCCTTTACTGCTTGCACCTTATAGACAGAATCTTGCCAGGCTAAATCTATACT